CTGTGCGCAGAGGTTCAGGAGCAGAAGTTCCATTGTAAACATATCACGGCAGACCCGACGATGTTTCCATGAACATGCTTTTTAGCATCTCTTTATTGACCACTTTTCACACACGGTTGCTGTACTCATGCAGCCGGCTGTGTCGGGCTGTAGCTTTTCAGCTCACAGCCCGACACATACCAACAACAGCATAGATGGCACAGACGTTAAGGCCGCGAGGCGTGATTGCGGGTACTGCTCAGGTGCGTCCGCCTCCCCTGCAGCGGTGCTGCAGACCACGCCCCGCCACACACATTAACCAGGTAAAATACACATTAAGGCAGAATTTTACAAATATCTATTTTCCTTTTTTTTTTTTTTTTAAGCAACATAGGGCTTTTTTTCCAATTATTTTTTAAAAGCCAGGTCAAGGCTTCAAAAGCCCAAAGGCGATTGTCACGAACTTAATATATTGAAAGTGCTTATTTAGTACTTATTGTTAAGGGTGGCGGCTCACAACAGTTTTTGTTTGCTACATGGATCATTTTAGTTCAGCTGGGTGGCTTTCCTTTTGTTATATTTCTTTAAAAATGCGTTAATTACATAAATAGAGCCCAGAAGGGCCGATGGCACGATATGGCAGCCTCGCTTCTGTCAGTCTGCCCCAGGGCAGCTGTGGCTACAACTGTAGCTGCCTCCACCAGTGCGTGAATGTGAGAGTGAATGAATAGTGAAATTGTAAAGCGCTTAGGGTGCCTAGAAAAGCGCTATATAAATGCAATCCATTATCATTATTATTATTAAATAAAATAAAATTTTCTCTGTAGCACTTCATAGATTTCATAAGCAACACACCTTAGTTTTTCACACAAAGCGTAAAGGTAAAAAACAATATATACAGTGTTATCTTCATTTTAGATGTCAAAAAGTATTTGCGGCTCCCAGTGTTTTCTTTTGCGTGGAAACCGGGTCCAAATGGCTCTTTGGGTGTTAAAGGTTGCAGACCCCTGCCCTAGGAGAATATGAGCAAGCCCTGAAATTCTTAGGAGAACAGCATGGATGCCCTGTATTAATGCCTGTTTCTGTGCAAATCTTGCCGCGAAACCTGAACCGTGCGGTCTATTCACATGTGTGCATGCCACTACTGGAAGTCAAAAGCTAAAAATGCCTGCTCTGTTGACTGCTTCTGTTCCCCCTTGCCTAAATCTGTAAATAAACTTGTGGAACTTTTACAGTGCTTTGTGCTCGGGTGACCTTTCTACTAATCTATGACACGTTCTTCATAATTCACAACACAGCGATCATCCTGTGTTTCGTACTCAGTCAGCATCTTCATGGTGTTACTCTGCATCACGTCTGTGATATGTATGTTATGTATGTTATCTGTTATTTCAGAATGCCATTACAGATCAGTAGTTGTTACAACACTTCACTCACTACAACCACATTTCCTTCCTGGATTTTGGTAAAATATTAGGAAAACATCAATACTTACAAAATTAACTCTTCTCTCTCTCCAGTGTTAGCATAAATAGAATGGAATACACATTTGAAAACTAAAAACTTTTTAAAAAACTACTACTTGCTTTGAAGACAGCACCTGGTGCTAAACAAGTCTGTGGACAAAAAACCCTACATCTTAAGTATGTTAAAATTATTTGATTTTTTTGACCTGTAGAATTTTCGCATGACCAACTTTTTGTGCTTTTAAGATATCTGGAGACCAAACAGACGGGGCTGGTCATGGGTGTTAGTATCTGTGCTAAGTGGGAGGGGCATGGTGGTTGAGGGGGTGTCTATTTAACAGACGCTGACTCTGAAAGTCTTTGCAGTGAGTCATGGGCTGTTCAAGAATTCTGACATGGACACTGAGTGTCCTCCTGAGCTGGATCTGTGTGGATCAAGCGGTGGCTGAACCGTAAGTTTAAGTGTTCTTTATAAAGAAAAATAGAATTTGTTTGCTTTGTGACTTTGTGTGTAACAAAGTTGTAGTTGAAGTTGGCACGAGTACTGGTTTAGGGTTTCCTTCTTTGTCAGTGCTTTATATGTTCATCTGTCTGTGTCTGCAGGCAGTACCTGGTGGCCATTCCTGCAGTTATAGAAGCTGGAGCTGAGACCAAATTTTGTGCAAGTCTTCTGCAGCCCAGTGAGACTGTGGTCATGACTGTCACTTTGATGTCCAGAGAGGAGAATACAACCCTGCTCACCCATACATCCAATGAAGAGTTTCATACTTGTACTCAGTTTAAGGTGAGCTCCCCAAGATAGGTTTTGATTCACTTGGTAATTTCTAATATATATATATATAAAGACTGCAGGTGAATACAGTCAAGTATTTTAAACACAGCACACAATTATTTATTTATTCTTATTTATCAATGCGCCTCATTCTCTAAAACACTTCTCTTAAAGGCTCCTTCAGTGGAAGGAGAAAAGATTCTGGATTTTGAGGTGGAGGTAAGAGGAGACACATTTCACTCAAAAGAAGTGAGAAAAGTCATGATCAAAGCCTACAAGGCCAGGACATTCATCCAGACGGATAAACCCCTCTACCTCCCTGGACAAACAGGTAAGAGTGAGCTGATGACCCATCAGAGCTAGATGGACTTATTCTGATACAGATTCAGCCTCTTAGAATTTCTGCTCTGAGATAATTCCCTGCTGCTGGGAAACCCCCACCCCTCCTTTTCCTGGGTGTATTTAACTTCCACCATGAACACGTCCCTTTCCCTCAAAAACAAAACCTTTTATTTCTATAATTTCCAGATATTTTGATAGCATGTCAAGCTGAACTATGATAATTACAAACTATTGAGCAAGTTTTGAAAATGTGAATTGAAGTTAGTCTGGCCATGTTTGTACAAATCACCAAAACTATTTCCAGCAAACATTCATTCATTCATTCATGTTTTCTTTTCAGAATAATCTAAACATTAAACAGGTAAATAAAAATATGTAAAATAACAGCAGTGCTGCACAATCCAAGCACTCTCTGTGTCACCTACACTTTTGAAACACATTATTGTCTTTGAAACACTTAGATTTAAATTTTTAAACTGTTATGCCTTCAGTCTGAACAAGTATATGCTACAAACTGTTTTTCTAAATTAGCATTATGATTCTATGATAAATGCAGAAGCCTTGACAAAATTCATGGATGCTGCTTCACAATGCAGATTTTTATTAACTATAAATTATTTAAAAAAAAATACCTATTAAATGTATTTAACAGTTTATAAAGTGACTGACTTAAAGCACTACAGACAAAACATAACAGTTGTAGCTGCAGTTTGGCTTTTTGTTATTTCTGTAAAGATACCCCTTGTTCACAAACATATCCTAATATGAGTTTGCATCCTCTTATTGTAGCTGTCAGGAAAGTCTGGTACAGTTTGAAGGTGCAAATACATCATTAACATTAATATGGGCCTTTTTGTTAGGTTACAACTTAATATTCTGATTTGTCCTATAAAGTTCTTTAAACTCTGATCCCGTTAAAGCCAGCTATCATTTCTTTACATTTTGCTTCGGAGAAGTCAGATTCTCATCTGCTGTATTTTTTTTAAAGTGCTCTTCGGGCTTTATGAAAGTCTTTCGCTCCTACCTGATATCACAGCAAAGACACACCAGTCCACCATGACCATTTCACACTTTGCCTCTGCAAGGGACACGAGGATGAGCAATATAAAATATATACACATTTAATTTAAGCTTTTTACAAATAGAAGCAAAGAGAAAATTGTGTTAGTACTGCTACTGATTTGGCAATATTGATGTTGGAGAATGCGTCAGTTTCAGTTCTTGGTCTGGATTTATTACTTATTAAGGTGTAAAATCTTTGAACTTCTTCCAAAGTGCATTTCAGAGTTGTTGCGCTGGACTCCAAGTTGAGACCTGTCAGTCAGCTGGTGAGTATTTCTGTCCCTCCTTTCCTCCTTGACTTTTATCACTCTGAGTTTATCAGTCAACTTGCACTAACAAATCGATAGTACAATGTATTGTCTGTGTTTAGTAATTAGTTTTTTACTTATTCTGTAATAACTCTAACAAGCAAACACTTGGAGTATACAAAACAACATACAAAAAAATCACATACTGTTGAAATTCATTTTATGTTCAATTGTGTTACGTGTTTAATATTTTTGAATTTCTACCAAGCCTCCAGTTGGATAGAGACATTGGTAGGACACTGTATGAGAAAATCATTTCCTCTAACAATTTTCTCACTTTTGTTCGTTTTGATTTTTTGCCTTTTAGTGCAACATCATTGAACTCGAGGTAAGAAAATATCCACACATCATTTTATTTTATTTTTTACATTCAGCATGTAAATCTAATAGATTTGTTAAGGGTCTAAACGTTCCTTAAAGCCAATAGCACAACAAAGTGCAGCAACTCTGAAATTTATATGCTGATTCTGATATCAGTGTTTTACCGTGGTGCAATTTTGTTGATATATAAACAGTATATATTGTGTCAGGTTATTTCTTACACCTTTACATTAAACACACAGCACTGATAATTTAACTATTTTGTATAATTACAATACAAACAAGTAGAAGAACAGCTGACAGGGAGCCTAAACTTCACCATAACATATCAAAGCTGGATAGAGAAGAACATGGTGCTTTAGCAGAAAACTAAAAGTATAGCTTCAAACATTAGTCCACTGAGGGCACTCATTGGCTATAGTCATTCCAATTTCAGTGCGTGACATGAAGGTGGGAAAGATGGGAACTAAATGGAAGAAATAGAAAATACCGAAAGATCAGGAGGTTTAGGAAGCTATATAACATTATATTATAAGTAGAATGAAAGAATAGCTCAAGTATTGAATCAGTTTTTCAAAAGGCTGAAAATCATAGACAGCATAAAAGATAGCTGCTGTGATGTTGTCTCTATTATGACATTATGAAGCCTTGAGGTGAGCAAAAATCTGCATCTGCACAGGATCATTATCACTGTATAATCTGTCATGATCCTGGGTTTTTTTTGCCAAGCATTTTCCATTTTCCTTGTGTTAGTTGTGGAGTTTCTGTCTGTTTATATTTATATTCATAAGTCGCTTTAGTTTTCTTATCTTTAGGGTTCTCTTGGTCTTGTCTCTGTTTCCTCCCCAGCATGTCCTATGTTATTGTGCCTCCCCGTGCAGTCTTTCATGTCTGGTTAGGTGTGTTAAATTCTGTCTCTTGCTCTCAATTTCCCAGTCATGTCTCAGTCTCCAGGTTTTTGCCAATTGGCCAGCCATGTCTCCGTGTCTCTCTCACTCCACCTGTTGCCTGTGTTTCAGACAGACAGACAGACAGATTATTAGCAAGAATGAACATGATTTATTGCTGATTAAATTGGAGCTTAGACGCTGGTGGTGGAGATGAAGGTGTCTTGAATGGAGCTTGAGTGATGAGAGGTGGGGATGGGGATGAGTTGGATTGCACAACAGCATCTGCAAAGGAAAAAAACAGATGCACAGTGAGATTTAAAGTATGCGCTATGAATGCTGATTGGCCTGGAAAAGGCTGGAGAAGGTGATTGGACTAGACCAGTGATGACACAAACAGCTTAAAAACGTGGGAAAGTGGAAGAATAAAACTTAAGATTCCCAGCACCTGGAAGCAGATAGATGTGAGGCCATCCATCTTCCTTGATGAACTTGAGCATAAGCTTCATTTACTCAGTCTGCATCTTAGTGTGTGTTTCTTGTACTTCCTGTTTTACTTTGATAATCTCCTGTCTCAGCATGTTCACTTTTGCCTCCCGTCTTTTTTGTTAGATTACGTTTAGCTGTGTTCCCACCTTCATTTGCCCTTCGTTTCTGTGTATTTATGTCTGCATCTCCCCTCTGTTTCTTGTCACAATCTTGCTCATTGCTCCTGGCTGTGTGCTCTGCCTGTTTGTCTGGTTCTAGTTCATTCCTGTTTTGGTTTTGTATTGCTTAAGTCCAGCAATATACTCATCAATTTTTGAGTTTAGTTTTTGTCTGAGAGTTTGTGTTTTGGGTCCTCCATCCTGCCTGTTTCACAACACCATATGACATAACCTCTTAAGCCCCAATGCCAAACCGATCTCCTGTCTTTTGCCCCCTTATCTGGGGGTGTATAGGCTTAAGAGGATAACCACTTTGCCAAGTTCCAGAAGAAGACCCAAACTGTCACACTTAAGTGAAAAAAAAATAAAAATTAGGATTTTCAGGAACCACCAAGGCCCAAACCCAACATGAACTGGGAAGTGGAAACTGCTGAAACATGAGCCCTTTCACTGTCCACAGTGAGGCAAGTTAACATCACCATGGTTTAAGATGGTGCAGACAACAAAAGAAACATCTCTCCAATACTGACACATTTAAGCTCGATTGAAATTTGTAGCTGTCCACATGGGTGAGCCATTTGCCTTCTGGAGAAAAGTTTGATGCACAGATGACACACAGATTGAGCTGTTTGGTCACAATGACAAGAAGTATGTTTGGAGGAGTTAAGCTTTCAAACCGAAGAACACTGTACGAGCTGTCAAGTAGCAGTGATAGCATCACCTGTTTTGCTTCTCCTGGTACTGGTACATTGCACAAACCAGATGAAATAATGAAGGAGGTTTATTGTATCTCCACATTCACATTCAACTTCACCTGAAGTGAATAGCTAGACAGCTGAAACTTGGACACAATTGACTGCTCCAACAAGACAATGATCCCAAACACAAACTAAAACTGAATGGATAAGGCAGGCTTACATTACTTTCTGAAAGCCTTGTTCTTAATTCTATTAAAAATGTCTTACTTCAACCAATTCTGCTAAGAAGAATGGTCAAATAAATGACTTGAAATCCTGCCTCTCTTCTCCCACTCATCTCTGCTATCATTCAACTTTAACAACCTCTTTCTAATCTAATCCAAGGACACAACGACCGAGACTGTCCAAGCCGGGGCTCGAACCGGCAACCTTCCAATTACAAGGCGGACTCCCAACTCTTGAGCCACGATCGCCTCACTAATTACTTAAAACTTTAGTAATTTAAGCCATTTTAAGATTTTTTTTTCAAGAGATTTTTGTAACCAATACAGAATTACAACATATTGTAACAAAGACTTATAAAAAAAATTCCCCCCAAAGTAGCAGAAAAATAGAATAAAATAAAATTGTGCAAAAGTAAAGAATTAGTCTTTAAAGTCCAAATGGTACCGGTGGGGCCCATGACAAATGGGTGCATTGCGTTTTTTGTAAGAGTTATTCTTAAATTGGTTGTGACATATATTTGACCATTGTTTATAGGTCAGGTTTTTATATGGGGCAAATCCAAGGACCAGTTCAGCAATTACAGATCCCAGAGTGTTCCAGTTTTCACTGGATGGCGAGCCAATCCCAGATCCTAGGGGACGATATACATTTACACGCACACTCATTTGCACATTGATGGACTACAATTCTCTGCTGTACAAGTAGTGCAGTAGGACAGACAATCACACACATTTATTTTTTCTGTATAGTCATTTCAACCTGGAAAAATAACAGTCTACAGAAATAATAATAATAATTAAAAAAAACAAAACAAAAGTCACTATGACATTTTTCCCTATGATAAGTTTATGTAACATTTTGATCACAATTTTATATTGCCTATACTGGAGACCAGATGAGATGCAGTAGTCCAGTTCTCTCTTATACCAGGTTATTAGACTTTCATTTGTTTGTTTTTTACTCAAAAAGCAGAAATACATACATCAATATATGCACCAGACAACATTTAGGGTTCACCAACATACTCTTTAATATGCAAACAAGTGCAAAAAATTGAAAAGGTTAAGTTGTACACGTACTTCTCTTGTATTTAACAGAATCCCAATAGAAACAGGATTGGACAATGGTTAAATGAAACATCCAATAATAAAATATTGCAGCTTTCATACTCCTTGAACTCTGAGGCCCATGAAGGAACGTACAAAATAATAGTGTCTGTGGGTGAAGATAAATTTGTTCACAAATTCAAGGTGGAAAAGTATGGTAAGTCAGATCTTTAAAAAGACATTTTGACATTCTCTTTTTAAAGATTCTTAATACAATGCAGATGCTAACTTTGATATTTTGTCCCCAGTTTTACCCAAATTTGACATAACAGTAAATGTATCTGAAGAAGTGAGTATTGGCCAGGAAGAAGTTGATATTAAATTATGTGCAAAGTAAGTAGGAGTCCTTTCTTGACAAATGGCAATTTAGATCCTCACAAATTGGAGTTTTGTTTTGTTTTGTTTTTGTTTTTATTTTAATAGGTACACATTTGGACAGCCTGTTCCAGGAAGTATTACAGTTACGATGTGCCGACTTCTTGAACGCTCTATTGCCTCTGCTAAGAAACACACAATAGAGGCGCCCTGCCACACAGAGACCAAACGGGTACAGTTATTCCAGTCTCAAATTTCTCCTGAAACAATGTGCAGATAAAAGCAGACCACATGCCCATGCAGAAGGTTTCTGTATGTCAGGAATTAATGCAGTACTTTATCATCATCTTATCTATCTCCAAATTTCGAGAATATAACAAATAAAATTTCAAGTTTAACTTGAATTTCAAGTAAATCATTTTTAGTGTCCTTAAGGCATTTATTTTTAATTCTGTATTATAAAATACCCAGTTACAGATTCAGTAATATTCACTGACTCCATTTTTTTTCTGCTGTTATGAATATGTTCTGTGGCTGATGCTTGTGTCAGTGTGTCAGCTCTTAACAAGCTAAATGATTAAATAATGAGTTTAAGTCATTTATTCCATTAGTAACACTGGTAGAGCTACAACCGGCTTAAGCAACTGCAACAAAGTCCAAATTGTTGCAACCTGCTTAACCTCCTAGAACCTGGCGTCCACATATGTGGACATCACATTTTGGGTTGTCTAGACCACAATACTAAATTTTCACCTGATTTCCACTTACAACGACATTATACTGATATTGTTCTATTGAAATTAAAACGAATATCCTTATATGTGGATATCAGGCGCTTGTAGAGCAAAATCAGTATAAAGATAATTCTTTGTTTTTACATTCATCAGGTCCCAATCAGCCCAAATAGCAAAGACAAATTAAAAATGCATGCCATGAAAGACTTCAGGTCTTAGGAAATAAAAGTATGATGTAAGCCTTTTTAAAATTATTTGTATTTTATTGTTTTGGAATTTCTAGGCTGATGGAACAGGCTGTGCAGCTGTTACGTTCAAGATGTCAATATTCACCAAAATTAACAAAAAATTCCTTAAAGATCAGCTGAATGTCATTGCCAAAATGGAAGAGGAGGGAACAGGAAAGTCTTGCAGTTGTTATTTTTCATTTTATTTTAATTGTTACATTTTTTAAAATTATAGGTTATTGTGCATTTGCGGAAATATGGCATGTGCATTGTTTTAACATTGAGGTTTCGTATTCAGGCATTTCACGCAAACAAGAAATGAAAATAAGAATTTCTTTTGTCCTTGGAAAAGCGTCTTTTGTTGATGTTCCCAAGATTTGGGAACCAGGATCAAATGTGGAGGGAAAAGTAAGTTCAAATTTGTGCTATGTAATTTAGAATGTAGTGTAAATAATGTGGGTTTTAGTAATGAAACATTGTGGTTTGAACAGGTTAAAGCAGTATACTACAATGATACGCACATTTCCAAAGTACCTGTGTACCTGTTTGTGGGAGAACGTTGGTCGGAACGCTTACTAGAAAATCTAACAACTGACAGCAACGGTGTCGCTGAGTTTTCATTCAGCACAGATAACTTTCATGAGGATATTAAACTCAGTGTAAGTAGATATTACAATTAATTAATTAGTGACTATAGTGAAACTGTTAAGATTATTTTACATTAGCTTCCATCTTCCAGTGACCTTTCACAGTGTTTTCTTCTTCATCAAATTATGTATGTTTCTTTCCTACAATTCAGGCAGCCCTGACACCAACCCTATACTTCCAAAGATATAGAACTCCTTTTTATGATTTAGGATATCACACTGTGTATACATCCCAACCTCCTCAAGATGAAAAAACATTCAGCTCGCTGAAGCTGAAGATGAAGGATAAACCCCTTTCCTGCGATGCAGAAGAGGATATATCTATTCAGTACACTATAGTGAGGGAAACTGCAGTTAACATGGATGTGGTATATCTGGTAAGTTATTGCTTGTCACAAGTTCATCCATAGTAAAAAAAAGTAAAAAAAAAAAAAAGACAAAAAACAAAAAACATTTGAAAATCTACCAGTTTATCGAATGAAACAGAAAGAGTTTATTAATATATTCACATCAGAGAAAGTGGTTTGTAAATGCTGAAGAAAAAGCAACACATCATCTGCATAAAGACTAATTTTATGTTCTACATTCTTGCATTTTATTCCCTTAATTGCTATAGCCAGATAGCTGCTGCTAGTTTAATAAAAATTGCAAACAATGAAGGGGAGAGGGGGCATCCGAGCCTTTTGCCCCACTGGAGACAGAAGCTGGAGGATGTTCGGTCATTTGTCCAAAGTCCAGTCAATTTTCAAAATAAAAGACCACAAGCAGACTGCACTGTCTGTTTCTGAAACACTCCCGGCAGGACTTAAAGCTGGGAGAGACGCAAAATGCACAACGTCACAGATGGATTACACATTTTGTGTCATTTTCTTCTATATTCTTCAGGTGTTGTCCAGAGGAGCCATTGTCATGCAAGGATTTAAACAGATTAAATTTAAAGATCAGTCAGGTATGTAAAGACTGGCTCAAATCATGAGTTCATGAAATTCTTTTGTAATATCAGGTATTAAATCCAGTTACACTTTTAAAAAAAGTTTGGTGATTATTAAAATGAAATTGATATTATAGCTATTTTTGGTATGCTTGTTTGTTTCAGTGAATGAGGGTGAGGTGTCCTTTAAATTGAGAATTTCTACTGACATGGCACCAGTCGTCCAGATTGTAGCATATGTTGTACTTTCCAGTACGAACGTGATTGCCCACAGCGCTGACTTCTCTACTGAGAAATGCTTCAGTCACAAGGTATGTGTTGGTGTAAACTGTGTGCAGCTGTACTAGATATATTGATTAGTGTAAGTTAAGTTTAATTATATGAAACCATGACATACAAAAAAAACCCCAAAAAACTTCAATCGAAGTGGAAAAGACTCCCTCCCAACAAGGAAGCCACAGCTTTAGCAAACATCGAGTGGGCAGTGTGTCACAAGCGCCTGGAGGTCAGTACATGGACAAGGACCCAAGAGCAGATTCAAGCACAGGAAACAGTGATAATATAGTGGTTTTCACAAGTTCTAAACACAAGAATAAATACCGAAGGAGGGATACTTGGCAGGGCGTCAAATATGGCAAAACCGTGAACAGAGGGCTGGAGTTCCCCAGCCTGACTTGGGACACGTGGAATATGGGATTTATGCGCATGGATGCAGGGAGCCTTAACTTGATTGCTGTTCGGCTGATGATGGCCTTGATTTCATAGAGACCAATGCTGCGTGGGGCCTGCTTGCGGGAGGTATTTGCCATAGCTTTTGCCCTGGAGTATACCTGGGAGCCGGAGTTCTCAATCGATCTGCATTGTGGCGTGGTCAATTGAGAACCTTGAGCAGCACTTCCTGAGTCCAAGTCGAGATGTCATGGCAATGTAGATATTGGACTCATGGAATGGCGAGCTCCACCTCCGGCTGCAAAAAGAGGTTCATCAAGCAGAGCACAGTGGATAGTTTCCTCCACGTCCCAGGAAATTAAACCGCTCCTGTATTGGAGGCATAAACCTCTACTATGAACACAGGTGAACACCTGCATTCATCTGTATTAGCGAATGCAGGTGAATGCAGTTTTGGCCTGTTGTGTACAGGTGAAGGGTATCTTGGTGAGGTGAGTGAGTGGTTCTGCTACCTGATTGTAATTCCAGATGAAGCGGCAGTAAAAATTGACGAATCTGAGAACGTTTTTTTTTTGAGATGTGGGAGTGAGACATTCCCTAACAGCTTGGACTTTTGCTGGGTCGGTCTTCACCTGCCCTCCTGCCAGGATGTAACCAAGAAAAGTGACTGAATATGAATGAAACTCCCCTTTCTCCGCTTTGATGTATAACCGGTTTCGAGAAGGCGCTTCAGCACAGATTTGATCTGGACCAGATGTTCCTCCAGAGTCTTGGAAAAGGTTAGGATGTCGTCTAAATACACAAACACAAAAACGGTCAAGAAGTTTCTCAGGACCTCATTAACTAATGTTTGCTAAAATGTGGGAATTTTAGTGAGACCAAACGCCATGACCAGATACTTTGAGTGACCAAAGGGGGACCAGATGATAGTCATTGTGTAGATTTAACTTAGAAAAAGTGGTGGCACCATGAACAGGTTCAAAAGCTGAATTGATGAGCGGGAGAAGATATTTGATTTTGATCGCAATCTCATTTAAACTTCTGTAGTCAATACAAGGACGAAGGGTCTTGTCCTTCTCAGTGATGAAGAAAAAGCCTGCACCTACCAGGGAAGAGGATGGGCAGATGATGGGACTCTCAAATATACTTATCCATGGCTTCTCTCTCTGGCTTGGATAAGTTGTCAGGTTGGGTGGTTGATGGTGCAATCATAGGGCCTGTGGAGTGGAAGTGCCTTATGTTTACGGAATACTTCCTGGAGGTCATGATACTCCTTGGGGACTGAGGACAGATCTGGTGGTGAAGGTTCGGCAGGTGATTATTGAGGCAGTTAGCAAGGCAAAAAAGGCTCCAGCTAGTAATTTGTGTAACCATTCAATATGGGGATTATGTTTCTTTAGACAAGGGTAGCCAAGGACAGTCGCCAGAAGTAATTAGGGAGACTGGTCTGGTTTGATGAGTAATATGGGAAAAAATCTGATTGTTTAAAACTGTGGCTAGAATGGGAGGATCGGGTAGAACAGAGGCAAGTGCAATTACATAACCAGGTACGTAGCCTTTTCTCGCTCTCTCAGGCAATCCTGAGAGAGAGGGAGGAGGAAATAAACCAAATCCTTGAACGATGCAGGCTCATCATGAGAAGCTAACTCATAAATATTCCCAGGATCACATAATCAGGCCAACCCACCTTGGCAGCTGCCATGCAGAAATCGATGACAAACTTAGCTATGTTACATCTAACTTGACTTCAAGCTCCAAGCTACGCTGCCCTCAGAGATGGGGTGGGCAAAGGTCTTTTAATCTTCCCTTGAAACTCATCATAAGAGCAGGATGAAAAGGAATGTGATGACAAACACGCCTCAACCCATACCAATGCTTTACCCCTCAGCTTGCCTACCACTTACGAGAGCTCAGAGGTGTTGTCAGGGATGGAGTGTGGTGATTGAGAAAACACAAGAGCATTGCAACAGGAAACCCTTACAGCAACCCTGTACCCTGGTGAATGGTTCAGGCTGAGAAGTGCTAATGGCCGGTAAAGATGGGGCAGGTCCTATGGAAGCGGGGAAAGGAGTGGAAGTGTGCGTAGAAGTGGTTTGGCTGGGAGTGAAACTGGGCTGGAGTTCTAATAGTGAGGCGATGCTTTTCACTTGAGTGTCACCAATAGATTTGCATTGTATTTCTAGGAATTGGACTGACTGTTGATAATTACCTAGTATTGAACCCTACTTCGAGATCGCAGCCTGTTTTGGATCTTCTGGGTCCATTTTTCATTAGGCCAATTGTACTGTCACAAGGGCATGGAGGTTAGTACATGGATGAGGACCCAAGCGCCGATTCAAGCATGGGAAACAGTGATAAGGTTTTCACAGGTTTTATTTGCTTAAACACATGAGTAAATAGTGTCACGAAGGAGGGATACTTGGCAGGGAAACGAATGTAGCAAAACTGAACAGAGGGAGAGCATGGTTAGAGAAGAGGCAAGGGAAGCTTGTCTGGAGAGGTGAGTAATACTGAAATGGAGTCTTACTTGGCAGGTTTGAATCGCTGGGTGTGCGTCTAGAATGGTGAGCTAGTGAAAGGGTTCTGACCTTTCTTTTCTAGAGAGCCAAGAGAGAAGGTGGCAGGAGGACAGGTGGAAGCGGTAGAAAGATTAATCCTGTGTGGTGGATGTGCAACAGAAAATGCTCCTTTAACAAGGAGAATGATAAGGCCTGTTACCAACGTGAGGTTAGCTCAAAAACAGGTGGAGAAGAGATGGGGGACCCTGGTCTTAAATGCTATCTCACTGATTGCAGTGAGGATGAGGGGAGCAGATCAGGTGAGATGACGAGGACGCCACCCCAGGGTAGATACTGGGCAACACAAGAAAAACAGAGGAAAAAACACTTGAGCTCCCCCAGACTATGACACAGTGATTATCAAACCTGAACTCCAAAAACTACATAAAAGCTAGTGAATGGTTTCCTTGGTTTATAGGCTTGAACTTTTGTTCTTTTAGAACCATTAAAGTTTAGATGGTGTAATGCACGCTTTATCTGTGTTAGGTGTCATTGGATTTCACACCTTCTTCAACTGTCCCAGGAGAAAAAACAAACATGGAGGTGACGGCGCTTCCACACTCTTTGTGTGGTTTAAGTGCCATTGACAAGAGTGTCCTCATCAAAGAGCCTGATAATATTCTGGATGCAGATAAGGTAAGTGTGGTCTCAACCACCTTATACATCCTTCACTCTCAGGCTTACGTTCCAGTCCTGCGCATGCGCAAAAGCGAGTGAGAGTTAAAGAATTTGAAGAAAAGCTATCTGGAACATGTACAAAGTGATATTCATCTTTTTTAGGGCTGTCAAAATTGAGAGAAATCAAAACAACCGCTGTATAATGCACTCCGCTATCTTTGTTTATTTAGTCACATGACTGCATCACATGACTAAAATACTTCATCGTTTTAGAAAGTCTGCGTTTTTGTGTGTCCACACTGCGACGGGACAGCTGCGTTTTTAAATGTATGCGTTTTCGAGAGCGTTTTCAAAACGCTGCGTTTTTCCTTGAGGAAAGCGCAGCGTTTCAGTGTGGACGGGGGGCCAAAACAGAGAGAAAACAATGCGTTTTCAAACGAAAACACATTAGTGTGGAGTAGCCTCAGTCTCTTCTAGTGTCATAAGTAGCAGACATTATATGAAGGCAACATGGATCTTAATTTGTGGGGAAGATCTATACTTGCAAAGACAGAGATTCTCCTGCATCTGAAGAGCCAATCAAAACTGAATGAGATCAACTATGAGGTTCACAACTGTTTAACCTGTCTCATGGCAGTATCTCTCTTCCTTGCTGTGTAACCATAGCATCTATTCAGTTTACTGGTGTGTTGAACCAAGACCTGTGTATAACTTTAAGCATGGTTGGTATAAGTTAAACTTTCAGGTGAACAAAAAAATCTTTAAAATCTTACTTTTGATAAATAACCACGTGGAGGTGTTTGCAACTTGCACAGCCTAGTTGTAAATCTTGCTTCTAGATAGGCTTTTTTGGTCATTTAGAGGTTTTGTTCTCTACATATTTTTCTCTATTTGTTTTCTTTTTTGTATAATACTGCATAAAACTGTACAAAATAACTATTAATACAGTTCAACACTTATTCTGTTATAAAGTATCCTGAAACAGTGATTAAAACATTTATTTGGCTACCTGTCATAAAAAGGGGAAAAAGATAAATATTTTGGAACGCTGTCAAATAACAAACTGAATTCCCATTTTTAAACCCAGATTTCAGCTGGCAAACTCAACTTAAAATGTTTTTTTCTGTTCAGAAATTCAAGTATATAACTGTAATTTTAAATGTTTTTCAGAGATAACAATAATATTTATAATTTAGCATTAAAAATATTTTTGATTAAAGAGCTTGTTCATACTGGTATATTAACCGTTACTGTCATGGTCCTGGATCTGTGACCCAGTGTTTATGTGTTTTTGGGTTTAATTAATATTCTTATATTTAGTGTCATTCATGGTTCTGATTCTCTTAGTTGTTTTCTGCTTAGAACTTAGAAGAACTTCTGCTTGCACGGCAAAATTAGGTAGCAAGACCACAAAGGTGCAAAAGTACAGAAAACAATATTCAAAGAAGAAAAACAATATAAGTTCAGCAATATTAGTACACTATATGCACGATGTATGAGTTACAGAAACCTTGTGGGGGTATGTACAAGGGCAATAATATAATATAATAAATAAATAACAGTGGAAGGGCTGTGGTCATTAAGGATGGGGTGGTAACTGCACATTTGCTGGAATATTGCACAGGGGCCAAAATATTGCACAGAAAAAGGAAACACCAAAATATTGCATAGGGAATGGCAACAACAAAGTCAAAAGCAGCGACAGAATGAAGTCTGTTCACACTCTTAATTTGCATTAATGGTTCTGACAGCCCACGGGTAGAAGCTGTTCTTTAGTCTGCTGGTTTTGCATCTGATGGATCTGAACCAGGATGTTGAAGAGGTGGTGGTTAGTATGGAGGTGGTCTTTTAAGATAGCCCTGGCTCTGGAGAGACATCTAGAGCTGGCAATGGAGTCCAGGGGGGTGAGTGGTCAGCCGATCACCTTCTCTGCAGTTCTGGTGACCCTCTGGAGTCTCTTCTTATCGGCTATTGTGCAACCAGCGTACCACACAAAGATGGCGTGGACCAGCACACTCTCGATTGTGGCTCGATAGAAGGACACTAGTAGAAGGACACTTATGTTATATTTGTAGTTTCTTGTCTTTAATTTTCTTATTCTGTGTTTTCCCTGTGTTCCACGTCTCTCACTTAGTTACTCTTTTCTTCGTGATCTGTGTTCTCTCTCTGTCCACCCCCCCCCCCAGTCAGTTTTGTCCCCATGTCTATTTCTCCCCTGGTCACAGCTTTAATCTTGCGTGTCTTAGTGTTCATCTCCATGTTTGTTGTGCTTCCTGTTTTATTTTGACAGTCTCTTGCTTCCCCTGTCCTGTTATGTCTGATTTAGTTCCTGATGTGTGTCTGATATGTTCCCCAGCTGCTTCGACTTCCCTGATCATCCTGCTGTGTGTTATAATTTGAGTTTCCCTTTGTCACTTGTCGGTTTCTCTGTTCGCCACTCATGTTTCTGGTCTTGGTTTTAATGGCTTAGGGCTTCACGTTCCATGTTATTTTTCTTCACATCCAGGTACTTAGTGGTTAGTTTTTTCCCCCCAGTTTAGGTCTTGTTAGTTTCATCTCTATCTCCATTTGCTTTTTGTTTGTTACTTGTACAGCCAAGAATAAAATGCTCACGTTTGTTAAAAATTCAATTCTGTCTCCGTAGTCTGCATTTGGGTCCACTCTCTCTCCTCTCCACACAGTCCTGAGAATTACAGAACCATAAAAATTGATTTTGGTAATTACCAATCCTGTTCATTTAGGACAGCTGTGGTATAAACCTTACATTGAATAGTGATCTGATCATTTGTAAATACTACATATGTGGTTCATATAAGTACAGATCTTTAATCTGATTTTCTCAATTGTTTGAACTTCTTTGAATTATTTTTTTTTTCTTAGATATTTAACTTGCTGCCTGTCATGAAAGCATCTTATTTCCCATATCGGCTACAAGAACCAAGAAAATGCTTGAAAGTGAGAACAAGAAGATATAGTTCACCTATAGAAGATAATGAAGCCTACATTGATTTTCAGGTAATATATAAAAATTTTCCATGAGCATGTGTTGTGTGTTTCACTGGATCCATGGATCCAGCTTCTTGATGTTGGCCTTGCACCTTGACTGTTTCAAATGTTCCACATAAGGTGAGTCTTAATAGTTGCATAAATAAATAATATTCTACTGCATTATGCAATATATGACAAACAATAGTCCTTCTCTGCAGCATTGGTGAACTTGGTATAGTTACAACAGCATTCCATCTGCAGATTTTGCATCCAGCTAACAGTAAAACTCCAGAGCATATCAGCTGATGATAAATATAATGCTTTTCATGGCTTTAGCTGCATTTAACTCTGTGATGTTTGTGTGTCTAGAGAGTAGGATTAAAGGTGGCAACAAACCTGCTGCTCGAAATTCCTTCATGTCTGAGTTTCATGGGAAGAGAATACCGCTTCATTCCCTCAGGTGATATTTTTGTTTTGATTTGCTTTGCAAATTCCAAATCATAAAAAAGTTCCCAAAATCAAAGCAGTGTGTTACACCTTCTTATTCATTCTGATTAAGTATTTCATTTTTTTTTTTATGATTCTAAATTAGCAGTAGGTTCCTCTGGAGGATCTTTAGGTCCATCAGAAGGACCAATGAAAACTGTCCGTGCTTTCTTCCCCGAGACTTGGATTTGGGACCTGGTGGAAGTTGGGTATGTCTTAGTGTTTGGAGATCTAGCTACACTGTCATTTGCATGTTTTTGTTGGCTAATCTGTGTAATCACCACCTGACAATGTGCATATTTTGAATCTGCTGATTCAGAGAGTCTGGATCAAAGGACGTGTCCCTCACTGTCCCTGACACCATCACGACCTGGGAGACAGAGGCTTTCTGCTTGTCCTCTCAGGGTTTTGGTTTGGCTCCTCGTCAAGAAGTTGAGGTCTTCCAGCCCTTCTTCCTCGAGCTCACCATGCCCCACTCCATCATCCGTGGGGAGCACTTTGAACTGAAGGCAACTGTTTTCAACTACCTGACCAGCTGCATCATGGTGATCAATGTTTCTATATCAAAAATTACAAATGTCAACAAATGCTAGCATGCTGATAGACCTTGCAGATGGTTATGAAGTGGCCCCTGATGCAGGACTCATCAGACAGAATAAAACGCAAAATCTCAGCTTTATTTGACTGGGCAAGATAGGAATTCACTAATTTAATAGAATACATCCACAATGAAGGACGATGCAGTGGGGAATAGAAGGGTGATTAAGGGAAGTGGAGACACGTGGAAACACAGCTGACTTGAATCAAAACTAATAACACAAAGGAAGCAAAAGTCAACATCATACCCATGAGACAAGACACTATCAAAATAAAACAGGAAGTAACAGAGGGACTGCAGAAAAATAGACATATTAACTACATTAGATAAGGAACACAGACAGCCATTGAGACAGAACCCAGAGAGACCAAAAAACACTTTGACACTGATGACCAGGCACAGAGACAAGATAGTGACAGACTGGACAAAAAGGGGAACAAACACGAATGAACAAGAGGAGAGAACTAAAAATAACTCAGAAGCACAAGTCTAATCCGGAACTCAAAACTAACTAATAAAAACTCTGAACATCAGTCCAAGGTCTTTCAAACAAATAAATAATTCCAGAGCATAACTAAAAAAAAACTGGGTTGAAGAGCCAGTACCATGACAATAGTGGTGTACACACTTCCCATCAAGTATCAGGAAGGATATTCAGTGCAAAATTATACCAAATCAAAACATGTGAAGCGACTCTTGGTGAATGAGGCAATAGCTGCAAGTATTCTGTCCTCACAGAGTAACAAGAAAACACTGAATTCCTCTTTGAAACTCAACCTGCTGTTTTGTTCTTTGTGCAGGTCACAGTCTTTGCTACGCCTTCTTCAGATTATACCCTCACCCCTCTTTCCGGTGAGCAGTACACATCCTGTTTGTGTGCTAAGGAGCGCAAGACTGTGAGCTGGACCATGATTCCAACAGTTTTAGGTAAGGATCAAGTTTTTATCCACGCCGGTGTAAATGTCCTTTCAGTCAATGCCCCTGCTCTTTTCAGTATCTACAAAATCAGTGAGATTATCTAATTAACAATATTTTAATGTGCAAGACTTTACAGGGTTGAGAAAAATGATGTTTGTTGTCCTTTTTTAGGGGCTGTGAATGTAACTGTGTCTGCTGAGGCAGTGCCATCCCATGTTTCATGTGATAATGAGGTTGTGAGAGTACCAGAGAGGGGCCGCATTGATGTGGTCACAAAATCCTTCATAGTAAAGGTTGGTGCTATTAACACAAGATGACAAAGATTCTGCATTTGAAAACTTGTTTTCTCATGAAGGTGAAACTGTAACTTGTTTTTTCTCAGGCTGAGGGGACTGAGATGACAAAGACATCCAACTGGCTGCTTTGTCCAAAAGGTTGGTGTGGTTTATACACCAACCAAATACACGGGGAACACAGCTGACACAAATAAACATGACGCCACAGGGGATGCAAAACTAAACAAGAGAGGGCGAAAGAGCACAAGAGACAAAGGGGATGAGAGAAAGGGGAACATGGATAAACAAGATGGAATGAAACACAAGGAGGGCAAACAAAACACACACACAGACACACAAACTCACATAAACACAGACACACAGACAGGGACACAGATGACAACGACACAAAGCGAGACTAAATGGACAAGAAACCAAACAGGGAATATACGGAACTTGAAACAGACTAAACTCAAGACTACTAATGTACCTAAAACATAAACCACAATACACAATAACAAAAACACTGGGTCAAAATGACCCAGAACCATGACAGGTAAATATCCCTTGTCAAGTTGCACCTTGACCACATGCCTTTGGTAGTCATCAACAAACTAATGGTATAATTCTGGCTCGACATTTAGACACAATCTCTTGTGTACCCAAGTCTTGTTTTTTAAGGTCATTAAAGATGTGTGCCACGCAGTCATTCCAGTTTTGAGTTTTTGTTGAAGGGTGTTTGTGGGTGTTTGTGGGTGTCACACCAAATTTTGCTAATTCCCCACAGGACATTTAGTTGTTACAGTATATCTCAACTATATATGAGATATTTATAGTTATATCTCATATATACACTATGTTACAAACTTGACACGCTTGGTAAGAGTCAGTCTGGACACATCTGTGCGGAAATATTAGGTCACACTCATAGTACTCTTATTGTTGTTGTTGTTGTTGTTATTGTTTTAATAATATTTTTTGTGCTTATAGGTTTAATTATAGGTGTCTGATTTCTCATATGACCTGTTACAGTTCATGATGCTGTGACTACCTGCTGATTTGAAACTATTTTGGTACTGACGTTCTGATTAAGCTTCTCTCTGTATGGTGATTGTTTGTCTGTACACAGGAGACACACTGACAGAGGAAACCGAGATACAGCTGCCTGAGAATGTGATTGAAGGATCTGCCCGCACTTTTGTATCAGTCCTGGGTAAACCTGTTGATTTTAATCAAACGAGTTTAGATTAATCCAGAAAGAAATATAGCAAGTTTATTTTTTCAATCAA